AACACTGTTCTATAAACTAGGGCTCAATGTTGTCTGTTCTCTGGCTTTTCATATTTTTCTCCCATGTAACTAACTCTTTAAAATTAGGGGTTTTTAAAGAAAATTTTGATATTTAATATCAAAAGTTAGACAACAGGGGGCTGGAGATGTGGCTTAACCGGTAGCGCGCTCGCCTGGCATGTGTGTGGCCTTCGATCCTCAGCACCACGTACAAACAAAGATGTTGTGTCTGCCGAAAAAAAACTAAAAAATAAATATTAAAATTCTCTCTCTCAAAAGACGACACATTAGAATAGAAACTTTGCATAAGTTTTTGGAATGGACTTTTATTAGAAGCTGAAATTTAAGCTACTGTAAATGATAGCTCTACTTTTGGCAGATGCATGTGTCCTTTTCTATTTTAAAATCCACATTTATGCAAGTATTGAATTGACGTAAGTAGCTGTGCCACTGGAATTATTTTTAACATGTTTGCTTGTCAAATAATTCACGTATTCCCCTCTCTTTGTATATTCTTTATTTCTTTTATATGCTTGATCCTTGCAAACTAGAAGTAACAGAGGAAAAAATGTTTAAGGAGCATTTAAATTTAGTTTAAATGTTATTTTAAGTCTTCTTATCTCCCTTTGTTGTGGTATAGCTTAGGAAAGATATAATACTCTGTCAATTTGTAAGACTTCCCCTCACCCATTACCATCTCTGAAATCTGGGTATATCCTGTAGTCTCTGATTACAGTTTGGAACTATTTTTAATTTGTAGTATAAAATACCAGCTAAAAGATGCAACATTAGTGGTTCAGATTAGACAAAATATGATTGGTAACATTTTGGGGTGTTAATTCTTACCCAGAATAGCAGAATTTAGTTTCTCTCTATTATCTGAGATTTTTGTGATATCTACTTCAACTTATAAACTTTTAGACTTTCTAAAATTAACTTTATGGAGGTGAAACAAATGCTTCAAAACTTCTGAACCTCACCTAGAATTCCGGTATTCTAACTATCCAAATGCTGGCAACTCTCACCTACGTTTAAATAGGTAAATCTTCAAAAAACAGTAAACATCT